GGACACCCAGAGACACCCCCTGGTCTGGGGGACACCCAGAGACACCCAGGGACATCCAGGAACACCTCCCTGGTCTGGGGGACACCCAGGGACACACCTTGGCTTGAGGGACACCCAGAGACACCCCCAGCCCAGGGGACACCCAGGGACACTGGAATGACTCCCAGAGCCCCCCCTGAACCCCCAGGGATACTGGGATGACCCCCAGAGCCCCCCAGGGACACTGGGATGACCCCACAGACCCCTCTAATCCCCCCAGGGACACTGGAATGACCCCCAGACCCCCCTTTCTCCCCCCCTTTCCCAGCAAATGCGTCGCTCGGGGAACCGGGAGGAGAACAAGCGGATCCTGATGGACCTGGACGTGGTGCTCAAGAGCCACGACTGCCCCTACATCGTCCAGTGCTTCGGCACCTTCATCACCAACGTGAGACTTCTGGCATGGGGGGGCACCTGGGGGCTGGAGGGGCACCTTGGGGGCTGGGGGGCACCTGAGGGGGCACCTGGGAGGATGTGGGGGCTGCCCCTACATCATGCAGTGCTTGGGCACCCACATCACCAACGGGAGACCCCCGGGGCTCGGGGGGCCACCCCGGGATCTGGATCTGGCTTTGGGACCCCCCCCGGGGATCTGGATCCATCCATGGGCCCCCCCAGGGTCTGAATCTGTCCATAGGACCCCCTCAGGGTCTGGATCCATCTGTGGGACCCCCCAGGATCTGGATCCATCCATGGGCCCCCCTCAAAACGCAGACCCATCCCCATCACCCCCCGTTCCCATTCCCAGCCCCTGCCCCCTCCCCATTTCCCTCTCCGCCCCCGGCCATGGCAGAAGCTGCCCCCCTGGTGCCCCCCACCCCCCAAATGCCCCCCCGACCCCCCCATGCCCCCCATCCCCCAAATTTCCCCCCTGACCCCCCCCGGTGCCCCCCATCCCTCAAATTTCCCCCCTGACCCCCCCCGTGCCCCCGCAGACGGACGTGTTCATCGCCATGGAGCTCATGGGCACCTGCGCAGAGAAGCTCAAGAAGCGCATCCAGGGCCCCATCCCCGAGCGGATCCTGGGCAAGATGACGGTGGCGGTGAGCGGGACGGGGGGGTTTGGGGGTTTTGGGGGATCTCAGGGGGGGCCCAGAGGCACTGATGGAGGGGGTGGTCCCCAATGCTAATTTTATGCCCCAAAGAAGGCGCAGAGAAGCTGCCCAGAGACAGAATTTGCAGTCCATGAGCAGGAGATGTTTTATTGTGACGTCGCCCTGGACAAAACTGCTCCAATCCAGCAACTCACAGTTGGGCTTTTTATCCAATTTTTGGGGCCTCAAGGGGGGCCCAGAGGCACTGATGGGGCGGGGGGGTCCCCAATGCTAATTTTATGCCCCAAAGAAGGCGTGGAGAAGCTGCTCAGAGACAGAATTTGCAGCCTATAAACAGGAGGTGCTTTATTGCGACGTCGCCCTGGACAAACTGCTCCAATCCAGCAACTCACAGTTGGGCTTTTTATCCAATTTTTGGGGCCTCAAGGGGGGCCCAGAGGCACTGATGGGGGGGTCCCCGATGCCAATTTTATACCCCAAAGAAGGCGCAGAGAAACCGCCCAGAGACAGAATTTGCAGCCTATAAGCAGGAGATGTTTTATTGTGACGTCGCCCTGGACAAACTGCTCCGATCCAGCAACTCACACTTGGGCTTTTTATCCAATTTTTGGCAACCAATTGCATAACACAACCCGAATGTGCGTAATGTTGCAACATAGATTTTAATATTCACTTAATATTTAATATTCAGGTGGAGTTAGAGGTGTGCTCTTCAATTTGGGGGAGAATCTGGGGGGGCCGTTCCGGCCTTCAGCCTCATGGATCCCCCAGCCCCTTTTTCACACTCATCATGAACTTTGTGAACTTTCCTATTCTGGCTGACATCCCAGGCAGAGGGTTCTGATAATTTTGCAAGGATACCCAGATTTTTTCTCATCTTTCTTCTTTATCAGACCCTTTTCCTGAGTACAGATGTTCTTGTTCTCCTTTGTGTTTTGCAGACCTTAACGAATTATTGCCTCCGCTGTTTCTAGGACTGAGCTTTCTGCTCTCGCCTGTATTTATATTCTGAATTTAACTCTCTGCTTCTCGTGTTGTTATTTTCCATTTGCTTTGTGGGCCCGGTGTGGCTCCGTCCCGCAGATCGTGAAGGCGCTGCTGTACCTGAAGGAGAAGCACGGGGTGATCCACCGGGATGTCAAACCCTCCAACATCCTGCTGGACGAGCGGGGGCAGGTCAAGCTCTGCGACTTCGGCATCAGCGGCCGCCTCGTCGACTCCAAGGCCAAGACCCGGAGCGCCGGGTGTGCTGCCTACATGGCGGTGGGTCCTGGGGGGTTTGGGGGGCTGAGGGGGGATTTGGGGGGCTGGGGGGGTCAGGGGGTCCAGGGGGGCTCAGGGATGGAGTTACAGGGGGCTCAGGGATACAGGGATGAAGGTCCAGGGGGTGACTCCAAGGCCAAGACCAGGAGTGCCGGGTGTGCGGCCGACATGGCGGTGGGTCCTGGGGGGCTCAGGGGGG